ATTTTAAAATGAAAGTTAAAAATGGCTTAAAACGGTTTACTCCATCAGCTGGTTTGTCTATAAGCGGACATACGAGCGATCCGCTGATGAATCATGGCTTTAAAACACTCCAGTGCTTAGTAGCGCTCAAATGTCAGCAGGAAATGGATGCTTTTAAAATTTCAGTATCGATTGGTACCGAATTCCAGTATTGTGCAACCCAACATTGTAATAGTTTGAGACAATATAATGTAAGAAACAATATAGAGAGAATTAAGTCTGTAAAATAACAGTAAAGATTGCAGCTTAAATTTTTTACCATAGTGTACAACAATGACCCAAGCAACATATCATGAACTATTAAAAATGTCATTATAAGTCACTTTTTTTTTCTAACATTTCAACATCAAAAGTTATTGGAGGAACGATTGAGGTTACACGAAATATGAAAAACTGTTATTATATGGATATTTTTACAGTGTACAAGAGAGTGTACTTGCGATGCACATAAAGAGACAATAGCTACATCAAATCTAGGTTGTGCTGGGGTCAGTTCAACAAAAACTCCTGCTGAGAAGGGGGTCGAAACTGCAGCAGGGGTGCATTGTGACCCAAATTAATCCTCTTACTGAGACCAATAAGCAAACAAAGCTTCAGCAACAGGCTACAAATATACACACTCACCAACTTTAAACTAAATAATGTTGCGTAAAAAAAAATGTTACATTCAAAATGTGTTAATTTACAATGTGTTTAGGCGGGACACCTAAAAATTGCAAACAAACTTTACAAATATTAAAAATAAGAAGTGTTGAATTTAATGAAAATCTCATTGGACAAAATGTGAAGTGCAGGATGAGTCATTAATTTAAGAGATCTATTTTCCCATCCCTGAAGAGAAAGAGAAATGTGTAAATCTATTAGTTTTGTTAATATTAGGGGTACATACACCCTATAAGGGCTTTCATTTAGAAGTAAAAGATAACGGAATTAGAAACCATTGAAACAATAAAAATACAGTTTTTCTTCTATTTACATTAGAGTAGGTCCTGTTTAAGCAAACTTATGATTTATAGAGGTTACCCGCTAAAATAGGTAACGCAGTGGCGCAGTAGGTAGTGCTGTCGCCTTAAAGCAAGAAGGTCGCTGGTTCAAGCCTCAGCTGGGTCAGTTGGTATTTCAGTGTGGAGTTTGCATGTTCTCCCCGCATTCGCGTGGATTTCCTCCGGGTGCTCCAGTTTCCCCCACAAGTCCAAAGACATTCGATACAGGTGTTTGGGTAAGCTAAATTGTCCGTAGTGTATGTGTATTAGCTCAGCATGTCAGTATCTTTACAAACTCTAAATTTTAGGGCCTTTCAATTGCAATGCAAATGTAATTAAGTATAAACACCTGGGGATGTTTGTAATATTGGGTTATTAAGGTATATGTGTATTCTGCACAGGGTTTTATTTCAATGTATTGAAGTTTTTTTATTTTTTATTCATTTAATTTTTTTAATTATTTGTTATTATTATTTCTTCTTTTTACTCTTAGATAACTGTAATTTCATCTTGTTTAGAGGGTAGGAGAGGGAATAATATTTGTTTAAATTTCACTGTTAAATTACTTGTTATATCTGTAAAATAATAAACAGATTAAAAAATAAAATAAAAAAATTGGTCAGCCACTTTTACAGGAATCATCCATTGACATATCAGAATACTTAGCCTTTAATCCCAGCTCAGATGCAAAATGATAATTAATTCTTATACTTAATAATATATTTGTAAACAGTATTCAAACAGTATTTTTAATGAATGTAATAAATTATAGTGTAATCCTTTTTTATATATTTAAGTACAGGTCAGAAACATTACAGTATTTGGCAGAATAATGAAACATTATTTTGCTCATGCTATTACAAGCATAATCTGAAACATTAAACACACAAGAAATCAATACACTTTTATGTACGCAAATAATAATTGAAGAGTTCAGATGCAAAAACCTCTAAATGCCATCTGAAATTTTCTCCTAAAATGAGCATTTTTTTCAGCCTCCTATGTTTATGTTCAGTTTTTTCACTCTAAAAGCAATGAAAATAACTTATTTGTCACTATAAAATAAAATTAGTGAACCTACACACAGGAGTCAGAGAAAAATGCAAATTTTAGAAGAAAATATCAAACAGCATTTAAAGGTTTTTGCATCTAAACTCTTCAATTTTAAAAAATCTTGTCTAGGCATTGTCCACAAGAAACACAACTTTTTAATTAAATGTGTAATATTGGATAAACTGCCTTTTTTAATTAGCAAGATAGTCTATAAGAAAAAAACTGTTGGTAAATTTGATCCCTGGAGCTCCATCCAGATTATCAAAAAGCAGATTATGAAATTTAATTAAGAGATGAGAAAGAGGGAGGTACCACATAAGACTTTGAGTGTGTTTAAACTAAAAATTAGGTCGGTGAAGAAAAATAAATCCACTTAAGCAAGGATAATGCCTGACGCTCTTTCTTCCTTGGACAAATGGCATACACTAGAATGTTGGCTAGCTGTACATTCAGTAGTATTTGTTATCAATGACACATGTGGGCAGGGTTATTCCTATGATGACATCTGCAGTTTTAATGACCATAAGATAACAGCACACAAGCTAACAACACACTCTCTGTGGAATAATTTTAGGGAGAAATATCTGATAAAAACATTAAAGTCCAAAAATAAGGGAATTTACTGTTGTAATATGAATCCACGGTTATGGTAAAAAAAATGAAAAATCGGGCTGAACAGAACAGTCTACATAAGGACTGGAGGGAAAAAAAATAACTTATTTTGCATATAAGCATCTTTTTCTTTTAATAAGCTGGATAAAACATTTATTACAAGCGAAACAACTTCTAATGCCAATCTGAATAAATATTTTAGAGCAAGGATATATTTTGATAATAATAATTTTAAATTTAAAATCTAGAGCCATTATAAAAAAATAAATCTCTAAACACACTAACAAATAAATATTACAAATGTGTTTCTCCCCCCCCCCACCCCCCCACCCCTAAAGTGATCCCATTGAAAATAAATTTCAGAAGACAAGAACATTTTAATATACTAAATAAATGAATAAAATAAACTCTTCTGTACAATGGAAGGAGGCCATGAACCTTAAATGTTCTTGAAACCACCAACATCAAGAAAGAACATTTAATAAGAGTTAAAAATAATAAACAATGGGTTTAACTTCCAAGTTTCAAATGAGGAATTAAACAGGAGGGACACCACTGAATGAAGTAAAGCGATTCTGTCTTTGCAGCAATCTACAGCAAATGTATGGGCCCGTAGCCAATTGGTCCCCTATATGAGCTCATTTATTTCATGTTTGACTTCTGTGCTATCATAAATTGTAAAACTAACTAATCAAAAAAGGGTTTAAGACCAAGAGGAATCTTCTGTTGGATCATTATTATTATGCTGGAATGTTATGTGTGAATTATTCAAATGGCCAACATCTGACTGAGGAAAGTCGAATGTAATGGCCAGTACGTTATTTGTGTATAGGCTTCAGTTTTTAATTTAAAACAAATCCGCAAAAAAAAAAAAAGAATTTAATGAGAGATGACAATAAATATGTATTTTTAAAATGAGTATGGAAAATGTGCAGAGCTGGAGGTCCTCCAGGAACGTGGTTGAGAAACACTGATATAGTCAATGGTAATTTGGCTAAATGGTTTGAAATAATTTTGGTAGGGTGAATTTGGGTAATCTGGGACATTGGGTAATCTGGGACACCTAAGTTTATGTGTGTTTATTTCTGTTCTAACAAAATTTAGGCAACAGGACTTTTATTATAAATTTTGCATGGACTTTATGTGAGTAAAATCACATGACTTCATTGGGTTATTCCATAGAGGGGGGGCAGGGCACTTGTCAATCAGGAATCTCTCATCAAATTGGATGACAGGTCAGTGACATAGGATTCTGACTAGATTAATGTTAAGGACATAAACCTGTCATAAATAAGACAATATTCCCATTTGTTGTTAAATTATGTTTGTGATCTATTCAAGTAACAAAATATGTATTAAAGTGTTGAAAATGTTTTTTAGATTTGTTTTCTTTCAAACATTTTTTGTTGTCCCACATTAATGTGGGACAGCATGGTTTGGGTAATCTGGGACAGTCTTTCGAATGGGAGAAATATGCATTTAGAGACTTTGTAAGTTTAATGACTACAAAGATGGAATGTACAATGTGCTGTACACAAACACAAACACACACACACACACACACATGAAAACGAGTGTTTATGATCACCATCCATCAAGCTAATACAGCAAAAAATTTGGCTTAAAATATAATTAAAATGCTATATTTAAACCTCATAAGTAAATAGAGATAAAAATGAAACGAGGCAAATAACTGCAAAAGGGTCAAGATTTTCAGAAATAAAAAACACCCTTTTTCAATAAGCTGACTATAGAACTGATTTATTAACTACTAGTATTGATAATGCTGGTTTTGATACATAGACTAAAGCAAAACACAATTAAGCGTATTACATAATATATAGAGAAATATGAATCACCAGAAAAACCACAAAGTGCTCACAAGAATAGAAGAACTCGTCATAAACACTTCGTCTTAAACCCTATCGAGCTGTCTATACAGACAGACTTATTTTGCATCACAACCGCATTACAATGCGCCTACAGATGCTATCTACATAGGCAACCAAGTTAGGTTTGAAACACTCCAAACGCCGAAACTACCTACAGACCGAAACCAACAGGAACACACCTGTCCGCGACACTTCCCTTCCCTGTGTTTTATAGGAAGTTAAAAGCGTTTAAACAGAACTGCATATAGGGTTGAAGATGACAATTTAAGGTTTTATGATGTTAGAGTTAGAGTTGTTCAATATACACATTTCAAGCTAACGTAGTCAAGTAAATTCTTTATCAATAGACTTGTCAATGCTGACGCCGTTTAACAGTACATTTAGCTATTTATTATTGACATAAAACCTATTCAAAACTCACCTTAGAGTAGAGTTCAGTTACAGACATGATCCCAAATACAGCAGCCCACACCTAAACTAGTCACATCAGCACGAGAGAGGTGAAATATTTCCGACTTAATATGAAGATATTCCCATCAAGTTTTACAATCCAGTTTCCCTGTGTCCTGTCAGCACTCCATGTCGCCCTATTATGCTGGTTTGTACTTTTGAACTCCTCTGACGGCTAGTGTTAGCTAGTGTTAGCCGCGCCTGATCACGGCAGGTGTTTGTCGGTCTGTCCCCATAATTCACGTAGAGTTGGAAAAAGCACCTATCTTCTCTTCCTCCACGTAAAAATCAAGTATAAATAATAGACGACTACCACTTATAATTGAGTTTTAATAAGGGCTGAAACGCTTCGGTAAAATGAGAGAAAAGTATGTAGTTGTCAAAATGCAGGAGTAAAGTTGCTGCCTTCCCCTCTTCCCGTATCCATGGACTCGATCAAGCTGACTGACATGACCGCAGTGGCCGTATGGCAGGCTGTTTAAACATTTAATCTAAAACCGTCATAGTAGGATATCGAAGATGTCCAGCTGAAAAATGCCCAGGTCTGCTTTATAGGCTACTACTAATACTTGTGCATTAGATGCCTATTTAATAGATGCAACTATTCTTAAGTTTCTAGTACTCTACATTACACAGTGTCTTTTGCAAATTATTAATATAGTAACAATTTGTTTTTTCATTGCCATGGAAAAGTGTGACGAGCAGGGCACACAAAGTGTCCAATAACTTCACATGCTTGCTCAGAAGCATCAGATGACATTAATGTCAACATTGATGTAAAAAAAAAAAAAAAAGTGAGAAATTTAATTCAGTAGCACAGGTCACTATAATATTTTTTCAGGCAAACAGAATATGTTTACACTTCATGTTAGTTTAATATTTAGATATGTACTGCACAGAAAATTTGTAAAAGGTATGTAATAACTTTATTTTCATTAACTAAAGATAACTGTTTATGCTTGAAGACCTTTAATAATATAATGATCAACATTTACATATAATTTACTTAAGACTAAATATTAATTCTGCTACTGTCTACCTGCAATTGATATTACAAAAGAATTTAGCACACAGTTCATAAGTTTTTATTTATTGTTTGTGCAATTTCATGTTTAAAATTAAATGAGTAAAATCAGCCAATTTTTCACTGAATTCTGTATCACTATAGTCCTTGAATACAGATAAATGTAGTAAATGTGATACAAATTTACAAATCTGTATCTAATTAATTAGTTTTAGTGTCTATTTAATTTAGTTTATTTTTACTTTACTATTTTTAAATTAGTTTTATTTAGTAGTCTAACATTTGAGACATGACACTCATTTATTGAACAGTAAACATTCATTTAGATTCAATGATCCAAACTTAATGTGGAAACACAACTTCAACAAACTGTTCTCCATATTTTTAGAGGAGATGGAAACATCATTGACATGAACACGATATAGCTTTAGGCTTGTTATGTTAAACAAAACTCTGAATCTAAAGTTTATGCCCTTTAAGCCACTGCATTTGTTTAGTCCTGTTACATGCTCAAACGTGAACACCATGTTGCGTGTTGTCCCTGAGCATTTTAGAGGGGCGGATTTAACAAAAAGGCAAAGTGAGCGGCCGCTTATGGACCCAGGAAATCTGAGGGCCCCCAAATAAATACCTAGAAGAAAAATTAAATAAATCATAAATAACATAATTTTCTATCATATTTTGTATGATGAGAGTCTAAAAAAATAGTTTTTTTATTACATCGCAAATGGCCAAATGTGTCCCCCACCCTCAATCATGAAGCAGTCCAGCAGTCAAATTAGGTAAAGATTTAGTTTTTAAAACTAAATAGTTTATACATGATTTTCAGTTGTGAATCCGTTTGAAGAAATCAAATCATTTAAAAAAAAATTTATAAGATGTTTTACATGTTGTTATACATTTGCATTAAGACAAACTGTAGAAAAGTTGATATACAAATAAAAACTGCAAAATAAATAAATTAAAAAGAAATGAAGGTACAAAAGGTGCATTTTAGAACTTTCGGGCCCCATGGCCGGAATTGCTTAGGGCCCCCAAAACACTAAATCTACCCCTGGCACTGTAACATAGGCCTAAAAGGTTGTAAAATAACAGTTTGTTTAAAATAACAAACAAAAATGTGTATCGGGCTTTACTAATTAACACATAAAATACTGCTGCTGCAGTGCTGCCGCACCTCCAGATTTACCCATGTTATGTTTTACAGTACCGCCCCACTGAACGTGTAGATAGATTCAATGTTAAAATGGCTTGCCATGGTGGCAGAGGCTCATGGATCAACGTACTGTACTATTCAGTGTATCCACAGCAACACCGTCTGTTCAACATAGGAAACTACACTTAAACATGGATTGGGGAAATAATGAGATTATAAACAGTCTCTGCATGTTTGTAAGACAATATTCAGAGACTATTTTGATTTAATTAAAAAGGTGAGTTGAAATACCACAAGCACTTGATTCACAGCTGTGTTTAAGATGTAAATTGAATAACAAATATATATATATATATATATATATATATATATATATATATATATATATATATATATATATATATATATATATATATATTACAGTCTTTGTTGTTATTTTTTCTTTTTTCAGAGTTTTTTGATGCACAATTAAAAGCCATAAACAAACCGCTTCCTATAATGAATCCTATAAAGTTCTTTATTCTATAATCTTTATTGCAAGTTACTTCTTCTGTGGATTTTGCACCACTAGCTTTCACTGAAACCTTGGTTAGCCACTGTGTGCGTGTTGATATCTGAATTTGGGTGTCAAGATAAATTGCCTGTGTTTGTGCTCATTTGTCACTTTGGATAAAAGTGTTTGCCAATTGCCTGAATGTAAATTTTATGGACAATAGATTCTACCCTTTTTTAGAATAATGATTATATTTAAATTTATTGATATTTAAATTTGCCAAACCAAAAAAAAATATTAATAAAAATAAAATAAATAAATAAATGATAATAATAACAATTAGACAAAAAGTAAGCTTAATTTCCGAATCAGATTCCGGTTCAGAATCTTATTTTAAGGGATTTTTAATTAATTATTATTCTTTTTTATTTAATTTTGACTCAGTGGACCCAGCCACGTCACTGACCCACATGCATCACTAAATTCATTGTGTTTTTCTGATTCATCTGAGAGAATTTTAGCTCACACCCTGAAATTCATTACTTGTAACACAATTTTTCAGTCCAGCCAGATGTTGAAGCACACACTGCTAAAGCAACTACTACCTAAAATACAGTATAGCACTAAGACCAAGTACTAGTAGACCACTACTACCTAAAATACAGTATAGCATAAATATTGAATACAGACACTGCTCTGATGAAACGCAATGAGCTCTACATACATATCAACAGTATTTATCTATTTTACGCACAGAATCTGTCCAGAAAAATCAGACAGCATAAATTGTGTGTTTAGTGTCTCTATCATAAATCAAACACACAAAAGCAAAGCATTCCTTCTCTGTTATCTACAAGCTGCAGAGTGGACACACATGAAACACACTACAAACATACATTCACAATAATATTTGTTCACTTAAATAGATGGGTGAACATGTTTAGTACTTTACCTGTGGTTAGATTATATATATTTAATTTAAGTCATGTATTTCTAAGTAAATCTTAGTGAAACACATAGGGAATTTAAATCGACCTACCTTGACATAAAGCTCATGTTCACGCATCTTCCTCTCTATAAATACTTTCCAATATCCACAGACGCACTGATCATTAGACTGACAAACTATATTGTTTATTCCTCATGTCTTACTTAAAAAGATTCCATCTTGTAAGCCTGAAACTGGCTTGGGTAAAAGATAAACCTGTCTGAACAGCCAGGTGAGAAAGAAAAAAGTAGACAGAAATGACATCAGACCAATTGCTCCACACCCCTACCACTCCTAGTAAAGGTATTGGGTGTTGACTAACTTCTTAACCATACACAACCTGTGGTGGATTTAGTAGGCTACTGGAAAATACTAATCGTTAAACCCGGCAGCTTATTGGTCTAAAACCTCATTGCAAAATCATTATAGTTATGTTCTACTGAGATAATTAGACAATATTTAGAGTCTGACCCTTTGACCTTTCCTGGTATTGTGTACAGTGCATGTTTCTTAGCAACCATGGGAGACATCTCATTGCTTTTAATCAGGAGCCTGCTACTCTTATATACTGATTTGTACAAAGAGGCCATCACATTCTTGAACGGCTTTCTTGAAATAATTAACTTTTCAACGTGTAAATATCTACGTCTGAACAAGATAATCCAGTTAGACTTGTATTTGCCTTTGAATAGAAACTTTGACAAATGGGTAATGAGTCTGATCACACAATGTGCAAAGCAGATGGACTATACTACTTGGAAGATAAGGATGTTAGGAGTTTTCAGTTTATTATTTATAAAGTTTTTAAAACTGTAAGATTTGCTGATGATTTCAACCTCTGCTGCATTTATATAAACACACCATAGAAACCCAACAGTTCACTTTATCCAATGAAATGAGAAAGTTAATTGTACTCATTTGAAAAGAGTTTTGAACTCAGTGTTCAAGGTAATAAGTTAATTAAATACCTCATTACTTCTATTTAAATAGAGTACGTTCACAGTACTCATATAGATTAGTTTTTAACTCAAATGGTTTGTAGCAATCGGTTTCCTCAAATGGTTTGTGTTGCCTTAACTTATTGGGTTTTAATTTACTCAGTTGGTTTAAGTTCTCTTCATTTGTTGGGTTTTACTGTGCTCAAATTGCTTCATTTACTCAAATGGATTAAGTTCACAGTAATCATTCGGATTCGTTTTTAAACTTGGTTTGTTGTAATCAGTTTCCTCAAATAGTTTGATTTACCTTTACTTTTTTATGTTATTACAATTAAAAAATAAGAGTTTTCTTTGTAAATATATTTTAAAATATAATGTTTCCCCCTTGCATTTAAAGACCAATAGCACTTTTACTCCCATCTTCAGTTTCATATGATCCAATAGAAATCAACATAAAAATTATATAATAATTTATATGAAGCTGCTTTTTTTTTTAGAATTATTTCAAAAGGATCACATGGCACAGAAAACTGGAGTAATGATGCAGAAAATTCACCTTGAAATCACTGGAATAAATTACACTTTAAAACATATTTACACACAAAGTCATGGTCAGCACGATGGCGCAGTGGGTAGCGATGTCGCCTCACAGCAAGAAGGTTGCTGGTTCGAGCCTCGGCTGGGTCAGTTGGCATTTCTGTGTGGAGTTTGCAGGTTCTCCCCATCCAAAGACATGTGCTTTAGGTGAATTGGGTAAGATTAACTGTCTGTGTTGTGTGTGAATGAGAGTGTATGGGTGTTCCCCGCTGCATAAAACATGTGCTGGATTAGTTGGCGATTCATTCTGCTGATGTGTGACCCCTGATTAATAAAGGGACTAGGCCTAAAAGAAAATGAATGAATAAACAAATTGGTTATATTGAATTAAAATAATATTTCACCATCTTACTGTTTTATTATGTATTGTTTATTTATTACTTACATTATTGTTTATTAATTATTTAAATTATGTTGTTTATTTATATCTACATTAACAATACTATTTATTGATCAAATAAATGTGCCAAAATGAATGCATAAATGAATGCTAAATTAAATCAAATAAATGCAAATCTTTCATAAAAGAGATAGTTCACTATTTATATATAGTTCAGTTTTTTTCACTTATCCTTTACCCTCCACTTTTTTCCAAACTCTAAATTTCTAAATGAGATATTTAGAAAAATTGTTAGTAACTAACCCATAGTACTCATCTGTAGTATTTTTGACATTTATGATATTCAGTGGTAACCAACCTTCTTCAAAGTATCTTCTTTTAATAAAACAAATTTAATTGTACAAGCTAGGAACAATCTGAGAGTAAATGGTAAGTCATTTTTCATATTTAGGTAAACTATGCCTTTACCAAGCCTTTGTGATTCCAAAGTTAGATTGGTAATATCATGACTCAAGTTGAATGTAACTGAATTCCTTCATTTTCTTTGTCTCTCTTCTTTTTAATTAATTCGAGAATATTTTACAAATGCTACTAATGTTGTGAACAGAACTGGTTGGATTTATGACATTTGTCCACCAGAGCTGGAGCAGCGGCGATCTCTTCTCCTGAACGGATGAACGGCTGTGGTGCTGGATATGGGTCTTGACAGGATGTCCTGAATCTTCTTGTTGTACTGCTCTTCGTACATTAGACCCTTCTGGAACTCATATTCTTTCTCAGCTTCTTCTGCTTCACGAATGCGCTGGCGGTACATCATCTGAGCCAATAAATCAGCCTGATACTCCTTAGTGGCTTCCCTGAAACTAGAAATTTATCAATCAAAGATTATTGTTTTGTATTTATTTTTAACAGGATGATTAAGTAGAACAGCTTTAATAGACAAGAACATACTGAGCCTTTTCTTCTTCGTCCAGCAATTTGTTTGCTTGAATTATTCGATCAAGCTCCTCTTTTTCTTTAAAAGCCTCAGCCTGCTTTTGCATGTTCTCATTCACTAAAAAAAGAGAGATTACACTTTCATTTTTATTTGTTGTACAACATTTTTTTATACTGTATATTTTTGGGTTAAAGACAAAAACAAAATTCATACAGTTGAATTATTAGTCGCCCCCTTGATTTAGATTTTTTTAAAAAAATATTTTCCAAATGATGTTTAACAAAGCAAGAAAATTTTCACAGTATGTCTGGTCATATTTTTTTCTTTTGGAGAAAGTCTTGTTTGTTTTATTTAGGCTAAAATAAAAGCTTTTTAATTTTTAAAAAAACATTTTAAGGTCAATATCATTAGCCCCTTTAAGCTATATTTTTTTCGATAGTTTACAGAACAGTTATACAATAACCTGCCTAATCAACCTAACCTGCCTAGTAAACCTAATTAACCTAGTTAAGCCATTAAATGTCACTTCAAGCTGTATAGAAGTGTCTTGAAAGATATCTGGTAAATATTATGTACTGTCATCATGGCAAAGATAAAATAAATCAGCAATTAGAAATGAGTTATTAAAACTATTATATTTAAAAAATGTGTTGACAAAAATCTTCTTTTCATTAAACAGAAATTGGGGGAAAAATAAACAGGGGGGTTAATAATTCTGACTTCAACAGTATATGTAGACAGTCAGACAGACAGCCCACAGACACACAGATAGAAAGGTAGATGGACAGATGGAGGGATGGATAGACAGACGGACAGACAGACAGACATATATACATACATACATATATATACAAAGACACAAACAGATAAATAGATATATAGACAGACAGACAGATAGAAAAAGATAGTTAGACAGACAGACACTGACAGACAGACAGACAGACAGACAGACAGATGGACAGATGAACAGACGGATGGACAATAAAATCCACATTAAAAAAACAAACAAACAGGAAAGCGTGGATGAGGGGGATGATGGCGTCTGTTGCCATCATCCCTGTCGATAATATGGGAATATTTTGGTTTTAAAGTCACAGACACTGAACAAAAACAGGTAATCTGTAAGAATTGTTGCCTCAGCACGAGGAAATACAACAACCAGCACTTAAAAAAGCACCACAGGCAGCTAGATGAGGAGTGCTTGACTTGGTAAAAAGTCAACTCAAAGTATTGCCAGTGACACTCAATCTAGTAGCAAGCAACAGCAAAGTACAATTTCAGAGGTGTTTCAGCCACGTTAGTATTTTTATAATTATTATTTTTTGTTTTTATAATTAGCTAAACTATCTCCCTAATTTGGCTGCATGTTGGCGCAGTGAGTAGCATGTTCAAATCAAAGCAAGAAGGTCGCTGGTTCGAACCTCAGCTGGGTCAGTTGGCGTTTCTGTGTGGAGTTTGCATGTTCTCCCCGTGTTGGCATGGGTTTCCTCCTGGTGCTCCGGTTTCCTCCACAAGTCCAAAAAACATGTGGTATAGGTGAATTGGATAAGCTAAATTGTCCGTAGTGTATGTGTGTGAATGAGTGTGTATGGATGTTTCACAGTGATGGGTTGCAACTGGAAGGGCATCCGTTGCGTAAAACATATGCTGGATAAGTTGACAGTTCATTCCGCTGTGGCCACCCCAGATTAATAAAGGTACTAATCTGAAAAGAAAATGAATGAATGAAGCTTCCTAATTTAAGTTCAGCTTGTTTACAGAAAGATAAGGTCATTTCATTTATGACTCTTTGGGGAAAAAAAGAGAAAACTTTTCTGAATATTTAAAAACAAATTTGAATAACTGTTTAAGTAAGTTGATATCTTTTCAGTTCCTTTTTTAACTAAAACTCACTGCAGTTTAGCATTCAGAAGCTACGATTCAGATTATTGAGCTGAAGCTTGACTACAAGATTAAAACGCAAATCAAATCGAAATTGCAATATCTGTCAAAAAAAATATCTGTCGCAAAGCCCTACTAGACAGACACAAAGACATAAACAGATAGATAGACAGACATAGATAGACAGACATAGATAGACAGACATCAATTAACAGTTTAAAGAATAAAAAAAAATTGCGTAACACAAAACAAAAAATCCTAAACCTAGAGAAAGTTTTGATGAGGCTTCTTAATTTTTTTCTATATCTGTATATCTTTATTCTTAAATCTTATCTTGAATTATATCTAAACTGCCTGATCTTGATATATTTTCCTCACACTTTTCTTGGATCTGCAGTCGGAGAGTGTCCATGACGTCCTTCATGAGTCTGTCTCTCGCTGTCTTCTCCAGACGCCACTGCGCTTCTCTGCGGGCCCAGGCCTGCTGGAGCTCCGACTCAAACAGCTGCTCTGTCTCTGCTTCCAGACGCTTCTGCTCCTCCAGCTGCTGTGACAGATACTCCCGGTACCGGCGCTGCTCCTCCTGACGCTCCAGCTGTTCAATTCAGAAAGGAGGATATCATTTCGTTTTTTGGGCTGAACAGATTCTTTAGGCCATGGTCAGGTATGGGCTGAGGTCAAACCTTTTTGAGGACCTCATCCTGCTTCTCATCTTTCTCCTGTGCCAGCAGCTGCTCCAGGATGCTCATATCCAGAGCGAGCTCTTCCTGTCGATCTCGAGTGAGACGCTTCATCTTGAGCCGGAGGGAAAGGTCTAGTTGCTTGCGCCGTTTCTCCTGGTCTTGGAGCTTCTGCCGGTGTTCTCTTTCTGCCTCCAGACGTAGCATCTCCCGCTGGTCTTTCTAAGGAGCACAACATTTTGAAGAATCAGTATAATACCTTCAGTTTTTCTTAAATATTATTTTCTTAATATTTTATTATTTAAAAATATTTGCAAAAAAATTAAAAATTATATTTAATTTCTAAAAAATTGAACAAGAGAATATTTGATATTAATACAAATAAAGACTACATTTAACAGTGCAATAACATTTTATAAGTGTATAATTAGTTCTATTTTTATAATTATAATTTAAAATATTTTTTGTTGTATTTATAATATTTAATTTCTTTTATTTAAATGTTGTAATAAATAACATTTGGGGTTCTCTCCTTGAAAATATGGAAATGTATACTCTCTGCATACTGGATGATAGTTCATTTTTATATTCTTCACTGCTGTGTGATCCCATGTGACATCATGACCAGGCTTTTAGTTTGGTGTATTAGTTTATACTGTATAGATTATACTGTTAGATTGTATTGTACAAGATTATTATTATTACTATTATTATTAAATTATTCTTATTGTTATTACTATTATTATTATTGTATTTTTTAATGTAATTATGTATTGTTGTATTTTTTATTTTTTATTTTTAATATCTAGAGGTCATTAATTGTCACAATCATTTAGATCCTGGTTTACTTCTCTCTCCCTCTATTTGTGAAAATGTACAGTTATAATCTAATATGTGTGATATTTATCATTAAAAAATATATCTATAAATAAAGTTAGGAAAAAAAGTTGAAATAACGAAATAGAATTTTTTTTTTTTAAGATAATAATGTTATAATTGTATGCATTATCATATTATTTAAAAGTATTATTTTAAATAGTTTTATTTTATATATATATATATATATATATATATATATATATATATATATATATATATATATATATGTAATATTATTATATATGTCATATTTTATAATATCTTATAATAATAATAATAATAATATATATATATATAATTATATTAATTACAAACATTACCTAAATATATCAATATTGTTTAAAAATAATAATATTAACTTTTTAATTTATATTTTTTGCAAGTGTCAAATGAATACCAAATTAATATCTTATTTATATTATTTAAAAACCTTTTCTTTCCTTTTTATTTTTATAACGCTGCAATACTAACCAAAAATACTGCAAAAACTAAAAAAATAACAATATACATTAATTTAAAGAAATTGTAATTGATTGTTGCTTTTTAACTGTGAAAACAGAGACAATAAGCAGACATATTTCAATATTATACGTCAGTCAATCAAAAAAATATCTAACATTGTCTATTTAGCCATTATCATCTAGATAAATCAGAAGTCGGAATGAAAAGATCAGCACCAGTAGCTGTGCCTCCTCCTGCTTCAGCTCCTTGGCCTGGATTCTCTGCTGCTCAGCCATGTCCATCTGAGTCTGCAGGACTGCTTTCTGCTGGAGGTTGTTCTCTCTCTGCCGTTGAAGCTCCAGGTTGTGGCGCTCCTCTTTCGCCAGCCTGTCGCTCTCCCACATCTGTGCAAACAGTTTTTCTTCTTCCTCCTGCACCCGTCGCACTTCCTCCTTCGTACGGATTTGAGATTCCCTCTCGGTGCAAACCTGATCCTGTCTGCGCTTTATCTGAACAGCACGCAGCTCCTCACTCTGCTCTCTACAACATAGCAAGATCCAATATGCTGTAATTTTATTTAAAGTTCATTACGGTTCATCTAAAGATGGTTCTAGACCACAGTAACTGAGGGACAACTTGTGCTTTTAAGGACCACACTTTAATTTTGATCTCATCTTACATTCAGGATTATTTTATATAATTTTGTGCGTCAAAGTTTTTATGTATTTATATTTCTGTTAGAAAAATTTTGCATTATATTAAAGACATCCCACACAATTTTTTTTTTATAAAAGTGTATAATCTGAGTATTTGTTTGTATAATAAAAATTAGTAAAATAGTATATTTATATTATTTAACAAATATTTGTTATATTATTATTATTATTTCTTTATTTAAACATTTCATATTTTAAATAAATGAAATATTTACTTTAATATTAATGGAATGCTTTACTAAGGAGTACATTTAACACCGCTACTTTTTCAAGTTTACCATTTTAGTACTACATGTGTATTTAATGCAATTTAAATATTGTATTAATATTATTTCAAATATTAATTATAAAATTTAATTTTTATTTTATTCATGTAATTATTTTAGAAGTAATTCATTAATAATGCTAAAATTAGTAAACATGCATTTAATCGGGTTAATTTTTTTACATTTACACTATTTAAATATCATGTTTAAATGACATAAAAGTAATTTTCTGCTTCTATAACTATTTTGTGTATCACTCTGCAAAGCTAATAAATATTTTTAAAGAAATGTAATATTTTTAAACAAAACATATTAACCTTTAAAAAAAACAAAACAACAACAAAAACAACAACAACAGCAAAAGTCTGATATAACCTGCTTATATATCTGATATAAAACATAAGCATTTTTTAGGTATGTCAAATAATAGAGTAGCTAAATTCCATAAATATTGTTCATTGTTTGAACAGAACTATTTTTGGTATTCACTATTTTTGACCATTTTAATATCAAAGCACCAATCCTCCATTATGTCATGTAATTTGAATTAAAGCACAGACAACAGAATACATGTGATTTGTTTGTGTTTGCAGTGTTACCATGTCCACATATTATAAGTATTTATGAGCTTTTTGCTTATAGGCTTGAATCATAAATCAATCTGGTTATTGGAGGTCAGGTGTGAATAATGCTAATTTGATAATGATACAAATTTCTTGCTCTATGCAACTGAATATTGCACTCATACATTTTAAAAACCTTTGGGTGCTTTTTTACACAATTTTGGGCCGACTATAGACAAAACCCAACTGTTGAGTGAAAAATTTAATTAAAAACTTTATTCCAAACTTTGGGTATGCCCATATTTGACTCAAAATTGTCCTTGGAAAAAAGAGAGACGCACCTCTGATTATGCATTAAAGAGATAGTTCAGCCAAACCTAAAAATTCTGCCATCATTTATTCATTCTTTAGTCACAAACCTGTTTGAGTTTATTTTTTTCTGTTGATCATAACAAAAGTTATTTTGAAAAATTTTGAAAATAAAACCATTGACTTTCATTGTATTTGTTTTTCCTACTAGTGAAGTCAGTGGTTACAGGTTTCTAACATTTTTCAAAATGACCTATTTTGTGTCCAACAGAAAAAAAGAAACTCATAAAGGTTTCAGACCACTTGAGGTCATGTAAATAGTGTGTAAATATTCATTTTTTTGGTGAAAATCCCTTTAGATATGATACTGAAAATTAGTTTTAATTATTTCATTACACCAGAATTCCAAATTTAAGGAAGACAGAGGAGTGGCCAAGCATTTTGACAAGCGGGAACCTCTAGAACCAATCCTGGGTCCAATCACTAATGATATAATCTCCTACCTGAAAAGTTGATCGAGTTTATCAGCAACAACTCTCTGTCTCTCACTCTCTCTTCTCTCTCGAAGAGTCTTGGCTCTTTCATGCATCTTAGCCTGCCTCTCCAACACTGTCTCTTTTTTTGCCTCCATCTCCTTGAAGAGTTCCAGTTCCTCTGACTCCAGCAGTTCACGAAGCCTGGCAAAAAAAAAAAAAAAAGACAAAGTCATTGCATTACAATGAAAGTTTTCTTAATAATTCATGAAGTTATTCCGTTCAGACCTTTCCCTCTTTTCATCAATGCCCATCTGGTACTGATCTAGTGCATCTTGTAGATGTCTGTTAACAGTGGCAGACACCACACGGCGCTGTGTGTTTCTTTCCCATCGCATTCTCACATCACATGAGCTTTGATCTTTGGTGAACTCCAGCACCTCGCCTCGCGTCGCCTCCTGCTTCCTTCTCCTTACAAATATGTCATCTATGTCTCTGGATAAAGGAGGTCTTGCTTTCTGAAATGTACAAATTTGGAGTGAATTCATAAAAGCTCCATTCATAAAAATGTCTTTTCTATCTTTCTACCTTCTCTCTTTTACTGAAGACAAACTTATGTTAATGTCTATCTAATGTTGATAGATAGATAGATAGATAGATAGATAGATAGATAGATAGATAGATAGATAGATAGATAGATAGATAGATAGATAGATAGATAGATAGATAGATAGATAGATTTCTCTTTGGGCACATAAAATTTATGTATAATGAAAATGTTTTACTATAGTTACTATAGCATAATATTATAAAATAGTAGGCCTATCATTGTATACATTAATGTATAGTATATGCCTGTCTGTTATGATATAGTAGGCCTGATTGTATGGTTATGTATTACTATATGACTATTAGAATTATTATTGTATAATTATTATAACGTTAATATATTCAATATAAAACATGTAACGTTAATAATGGTCAACACAAATAACTCACCAATGCCACTGAATGTGCAGGTCCAGTAATTTCGCGACACCGAATCCTGCTTCTTTGGGCTGTCAACATTGTTAATTTTTTTCTTACCTTATTTATTTAGGTTTACCCTTTAAATGGTTTACTAATTTCTGACACTCAAGACAGCTTTAGAAACGACCGTCTAACACTCAATAAATGAAGTTGTGTTTACGGAACTGAAGGTATGTTGCCATAACAACGAAAAAGGACCACTTCGATACATCAGACAAAGAGCTTAGAATCACTCTATGCTCCTTGCATCAGCCTATCTGCGCCTCCCATGTGCGCCTATAGTTATGTGATGATGATGATAATTATGTTAGCTTATAATTGTAAAATATTATTTTAAATATATCGAAATGCTAGAAATAAACTACTGCCGTGAACTTTTGCCCACTTATTGACGGGCTTTTATGTTAGAAAATAAAATAAAAGCCCCCTACATAAACGGTTTATTTCATGATTATTTCTTGTGTTCTTCTTATTTATAAATAATAACATGAAAACGTAAAACGCATAAAATACTTATCATATTCATCTTTTGCTTATATAGCTAATGTTAAATACTGCTGTTGTATACATTAATATGACAGTTATAAAAAACTAAATCAAAAAATATTTTTACAGTACAATTCAAATGAAAGAAACACAACAGGGATATAAAAATCTTCTTCTTCTTTTTTTTTTTATATTTCGCATGTTGTGGTTGTTCTTAATAATTCTATATAACATAATGCTAAAAAGTTTCCCAGTGATGGGTTTCAGCTGGAAGGGCATCTGCTACGTAAAACATGTGCTATATAAGTTGGCGGTTCGTTCCGCTGTGGCGACCCAAGATTGACTATGCCGAAAAGAAAATAATTGAATGAATGAATAACGCAAAAAGTTGTCCATCGTGTTAGCGGTTTAAGCTTTTATTTTGAAAATTCTTTCCTCTTAGCGTTTCCGATGATGTCACGTCTCTAGAAGGCGCCAAAGTTTGGACAGACGCTCTTGTATTATTATGTCTGCATAGACACTTATCAAGGGGGTGTGTGATTATAACAACAAATTACATTAACAAACCGCTTCACATGGGACAACGTTACCTCTGATATACGCGAAGGTATGTTTGTTTTAGCTAAATTAAAACTAATATCCGACAGCCCAAAGCTATCAGATTTGACGTTTCACTGTTTACAATTGCCTGCCCGTAACATTTATCATGTTTACTGTTATATTTATTTACTCAAAACTAGCATATGTCCTGTAAGTGTTATAGTCTATTAGCTTGTTATGCTGATTTGCTTTTACAAGGTTGTTCTGACTGACTTATGCCCACAGATTGCATAATGGCTGTGCCTTTTGTTAAAGACTGGGATGTGGTACAAACTCTTGGAGAGGGAGCATATGGAGAGTAAGTGACCAATGCACTTCATATTCGTTCCATCTTGATCAGTTGCAGTCTTAAAATTGTATTAATCTGCTTCAAATCATTGTAGGGTGCGACTGCTGGTCAACAAGAAAACAGAAGAGGCTGTGGCGGTGAAAGTTGTGGACATGGCAAAAGCCAAGGATTGCATCGAGAATGTGAAGAAGGAGGTCTGCATATGCAAGATGCTTTCACACCCCAACATTGTACGTTTCTTTGGGCACAGGAGTGAGGGGACGACACAGTACATCTTTCTGGAGTACTGTAGCGGAGGAGAGCTCTTTGACCGAATAGGTAATTGAACATTTTGGGTTCATTCAATAATTGTTGCATCCTTTTTGTTTTTGAGTCGTGTAGATGAGTCAGGGTTCAATGCTGGGGAGTTTTTCTACTGGTCTAATCGGGCCAATGATTCAGATTTTTACTTGCCCTGACAAAAATTTTTACAGGCCCCACCAAAAACAAAAAAGAGAAGTTAATAGCTTTTTTAGCCACATATTTTAAATAATGTGACATAAATAATGTCTGTGAATCTAGAAAATAAATATTTATAATGAGCAAAATTCTCAGTGTTGTGCAAACAAAAAGAGCAGTACGGAAAATGTGCAGGTTTTTTATTGCAGTTTGAAATTATATAAAAAATGGTGGCCGACTTGTAATACTGACGGCAAATTGTGCAAAACATTACTTCATTTTTCTCATGTTGTACCCATGTAAATGTCTGCTTCCAAGATGTTAAACACAGACATTTTCTTTTACCCTTATATTTTGATGTTGCCGTCACTTCACCACTGGTTGTTACCAGGTTATGGGGAAAAATATAGCATGCTCAATACATAAAATCAGATAAGAGCAACCAAAAAACAATATGGTGTTTACGACATCACAGAAAAGGTAGCATTTAAAGACTTAAAAACACAAACTTAAAATGCTTGCATTTGACCAATAATCGCAGGTCAATTAAGCTTTAGTGACAAGGCAGCACTGTCCCAATCGTAATGATCCTGTCTACTATCCCAAGTGTCTCTCACGCTGGCCCCGGGCCATCAGGCAGTCCTTGTTGTTGAGCCCTGTGAGTAAATCAACTGTAAAAAAAAAAACAAATGTTCCCATCCGTTGCTTTCTTGTCAGAATTGATTTATTAAAATAAAGGCATTAAAATACTTAAAATTTATCTAAAGTATATTTTGTCAATCTTTCTGACAGAACCGGATGTTGGGATGCCAGAAAAGGAGGCGCACAGGTTTTTTCAGCAGCTGATAGCTGGTGTGGTAAGATTTGTGATCTTTTTTTAATTTTTTTATGGTGTATTTTGAGAACCATTTACTCTTCAAAGTTGACTTTGTTGTGAAACTTGCTCCATCTCACTTACAGGAATATCTTCACAGTGTTGGGATTACACATCGTGACATAAAGCCTGAGAATATTCTTCTTGATGATAAAGGTACGTCTGAATGGTATTTTTATACAGGATAAAATGCAATGTTCCACATGGTGTTCGCGGGGTCTTAAAGTCCTAAAATGTTTTAAATTTCCAAATGTTAGGCCATAAAGTCTTTAATCTATTAAAATATTGTGTTGTAGGTCTTAAATCTTTTTAAACAGGTCTTAATTTTCAGTTGTTTATAAATAGTTACCCAATCTGGCCATTAACATCCATATAATCACCAACAATCCATCTTTTATTTACAAATGTCCTGTTTAACTCCATTTACCATAATTGTTTAATTATTTTCCTAATAATAATAATTATTATTATTTAAAAGTTCCACTTGTATTTACTGCTTAGGACACTAACCTGGATGGACTGTTTTGCATACATTTAGTTTATTATAATAACTTTTAAAACATTTGTCCATTTTTCAGAAAGTCTATGTTGAAAAAAAGAGTGTTTGCAGCTAGAACTTGCTTGTTTTGACACAATATTTTGCTAATAGATATTTAAATTTGTTATTCAATTATCATAGTATTATTAAATTATATAATTTTTTATAGTGCAAAAATAAATATTTTTTTTATCTGGGCCATTTAAAAAATTCTTTAGGGTTTAGCCCTGTATGAGTTTAAAATTTGTACATAATGGTCAAAATGTCTTAAAGTCTTAAATTTAACTTGGTCAAACCTGCAGAAATCCTGGTTTCAGCTTCACAGATAAATTCAGCAGCAATACCCATGACACAAACACACACAGAAAAGCATTTTATTATCGATGTGCTGATATGAAATTGGAATATAGTCTGCTTTGGAGAGCTGGGGGTCTGTTTGGATTGTCAAATAAATTAATAAGCAAAATAAACAGTCCAGTAAAATAAAAAATGTACTTAAATTAAACTGGGCACATTACTATAGTAGTAGATCAATACAGACTAAACTAACAGAAACTTGATATTTTTCAAATATTGTTTTACACAGTAGTCTATGGCATGATCATATTTTGGGGTCTGTGACATCTACAAGAATAAACATCTGTGTTGTAGTGGATGAACATTATGCATATAAAATATTTTGCTAACACTACAATAAAGTCCAATTATATAGTCCATTTAAAATCAAATACTTTCTTCGCTGTATTTTTTATCTTTACTTATGAGATGTTCGTTCTTGTTATCTCAGGTGCGTTAAATAACATTAAAAGACAAAATAATGTATTGGTAATTGTTGAAAAGAACATTTAATTAAGACGAATAAATGCTTAAGTTTTCAGTATTAGTTCATGTTTACATATTAAACTAATTTTAACAATTTGATTCTTATTATCAAGTGTTGCGAGCATTACTAAGATGTGCACTATAAATTATTAGTTTAACAATATACAGGCTTGTATATGTAGACTGTATACAGGCGTGTCTTCAATTTCAAAGTCTTAAAAAGTCTTAAATTCACTGAAATATTGTATTGTGGGTCTTAAATAATTTTAAACTTTAACTTTCCTATGTTCATGTAAAGCTACCCAATTGGACCAACACCCAGGCAATTACCAACATTTCATCACTATCTCATTAAAAGTTCTAGCAAAAGTTTATTAACTCTATTTACCATACCTATTAATATAACATTTGTTTTTACAGTTTTTTTAAGTTTTAACTGGGCCATTAGAAAAAATCCTTAGCGTTTAACCTTGTGCAAGTCAGAAATTTCATTCATAATGGTCTTAAAAAGTCTTAAATTAGACTTGATGAAACCTTTGGAAACCAAAATATAATTTTGATATATACATTTTGTGTATTTTCTGTCAGATAATCTGAAGATCTCTGACTTTGGCCTGGCTACCATGTTCAGGCACCGTGGCCGTGAGCGAGCATTGAACCGTCTGTGTGGTACTCTGCCCTATGTTGCCCCAGAGTTGATGTCACGCTCATCTTTTAACGCTCAGCCTGCGGACACTTGGGCTTGTGGCATTGTGCTCACTGCAATGTTAGCTGGAGGTAAGACAACTCTATTGATTTTTTTATTTATTTACTTTTTATGAAAATATTATAACCAGAAGTTTAAAAAAGGCCCAAGATTGTATCTTTAACATTTTATTGCATCGTATTGTGTTGAATTTCTCAACAGAGTTACCCTGGGATCAGCCGAGTGAAAACTGTCAGGAGTATTTGGACTGGCTGGAAAGAAAGACCTACCTTACGCCCTGGAAGAAAATTGATGCGGTACCCCTTAGTAAGTATCTTCGACTTGCTAAATTTGACAATATTTAAATATTTATTATAGATTTCACTTTGGCCGGAAAGCAGCCACTCAAAACTACTGCATACAAACATTCAGAACACCTCTGATGTTAAGAAGTTTTGTTTGTTTTTGATCAGGTCTGTTGTCTAAGATATTACTGCACAATCCAGAAGACAGGTTCACCATTCCTGAAATTAAGAAACACCGCTGGTTTAGCAGAAGTTTCAAATCAGGTACTGTTTCAAACATCAGCTCAGTAGCTCTGCAAGTGCTTTAAGAGTGTTTGTGTTTGTGATTGTTTTGCGTCTGAATTTTTGACCACAGCAGTACAACGTCAGGGCATCACACCAGCAGCCAAGATTCAACGGGCTGACTCTGAGCTGAGACGAAAAAACAGGTCAGTATGATAAATACATACAGTGCATCCAGAAAGAATTCACAGCGCTTTACTTTTTCCACAGGTGTGCCAAACTTGTGGCATCATATTTAAAAAGACATGAGGCTGTAATTGCTGCCAAAAGTGCATCAACAAAGTATTAAGCAAAGGCTGTGAATACTTATGAACAGGGTTTTTCAGCTTTTTTATTTTTAATAAATTTGCAACAATTTCAAAAAATCTTTTTCACATTGTCATTATGGGATATTGTGTGTAGAATTTTAAAGAAATACATGAATTTAATCCATTTTGGAATAAGGCTGTAACATGAAAAATTAAAGCACTATAAATACTTTCCGGATGCACTGTATGTTGCCTTAATGACTGTTTAGTATTGAGCAAAACTCATGAGCTATTTTCTGCTATAAGGGGCACATAATCACTACCTGTGTGTTTCCTCAGTGATGACCGAGCGCAGATCTCAAGCTCTCAGCCTGAGCCACAGGGATTATGGGAGGAGAAGGAGGTTACAGTTCACACCGATGTCAGTGTCAGCTTTTCACAACCGACCTGTCCTGACCACATGCTGCTGGGCACACAACTGCTTGGCACACCGGGTGCAAGCCAGGTAACAATTTCAATACAGTTAATAATAATTATACAGTATTTTTCAGAAAAAAAGTTACATCTGCTCTAAATTGCATAGTTAATATTTAGATTTGTTGCGATTTGTAGTTTTATTCAGGAAAATAGGCTCCACAATGAATCTTTTAAATTTCACAGTATTCAGAACAGAACAAATAATGACAATTAAAATAGGCTGAATGTTCATATTTAGTTTTGGTTTTGCCTTGGTTAAAATGGTTTTATTCCATGGTAATGGAATGTCACATCTAATTTGGCTCAATGTGATTAATGATTTATTATGGTTATTTTTTTCAGAGCCCCTGGCAGCGTTTGGTGAGGAGAATGACCAGGTTCTTTACTACAGAAAATACAGAGGCATCTTGCATTGCTCTCCGTGATTCTTGTATTGCTTTGGGTCACACATGGAAACAGAGCTGTAATAATCAGGTAACCAGATAATATGTAACATATTTAGCATTTTAAATAATCAAAGACAGATCTCAAACCATATAATGAACTGATCTTGTTTACATCCCCTTTATTAATAGGCGACAGTGTCTACAATGGATCGTCGCAATAATAAGCTGATATTCATAGTGCACTTCCTGGAAATGGAGGAACGTATTTTAGTTGATTTCCGGCTGTCAAAGGTGAGCTATAAATTATTAATTACTTTTATGCTGTCACTAGCTACATTTAAATCCACCTATTTTTATGCGCATTTTGGATATGCGCATAAAACGGTTGATGGAAACGCCATGATGCGCACAAATTTGAAAATATGCATAAAAAACATGCGCATAACTGAGTAGGATAAACTTTTTTTTCCAATAAGAAAAGATGCGCATAAACTTTGATATAACACTTTTACCAAACAAATTCCAGTATGCGTATTAAAAAGGTCATGTGTTTTTGTTTTAAGAGATCATGTGGTGAATGTGAATGAACAAACCAGCAGGCTGAGCACTGTAAAACATCTAAAATGCTGTAACCATTTTAGTATTAGTGTTATTATATTATCAATGACCTCCAGAATTGTCCAGAGCATGTGTGCTCCGCATCTCATGCCTTTAAATGCCACCACACATTCATTGCATATCATTATTTGTCTTCTGAGACACAAGTAATTTATTAAATAAACAAATTTATTAAAACAGCTTCTCCAACCGCTGCAAGTTCTGTTTTTACTTTTGATATTTGGCGGCAGTTAATCAGGAAGTGACGATTTTAGTTTTGTGCATCAATTTACTTAGCATCTTTTGATGGACACATAGCTACTGACTTGTTAATCAACACAACTAAAATAATCAGATTATTGAAATGCAAACAATAACCATAGCATTTTAAAATTATAAATAATGTAACTGATTTGATTAAAGCTCTGTTTTTTTGTATTCTAGGGTGACGGTTTGGAATTCAAGCGAATATTCCTGAAACTCAAACAGAAGCTGTCTGACATTATTAGCAACCAAAAGGTTTTGCCATTGATTTGATGCATATACACATTTTACCATGCAAAGCCTGCCTTCACATGAGCACACACACACACACACACACTAAATTGTTATATGTTTGTGGTATGTGTTGTGATCTGTTTGTCTGAAGTTGTATATGTCTGTTTTGTTGATCCACGAGTGAAGGAATGAAGAGAAATTGTCAGGTATAGTTTGTCTGTTCATGTTTCGTTACTGTGACAAAGAGGGTTTTAGTTTTCTACCTCCTAAATAGATTGTAGGGTTCAGAACATCACAAAAAATGGAAAATAAATCCACTTTTAATAACTCTGTTTGGCTTCGGTTTTAAATTATAAAAAGTATGATCTGTATGAAACATCACATTAACTTCCAGTCCTGTTCAGCTTTTGTTTTATTAAAACACTGAGTTCAGAAAATAGTGCCTTTTGCTTACAATGCTTTAAAAATACCAAATTATCACTAGCTTAAACAATCGGTTTGCCTTAACACATTTGATTTTGATGCAAATAAAATCCCTTTTGCTTGTATGTAGGATTGCTGACTACCTTCTTAAACAGTGTAGCAAAAAATATAGCAGCAATCCAGCTGTAAATTGACAAAATGTGCTTGTAGTTAATCAGACGCTGTTACTTAAATGGTAGACACTTGTTAGTAAACACTTAAACTGATCTTAGTATAAAATTATATTCACAAAATGTAAAACACAAAATGATTTTTCTTTCTTTTATAGTTTTCTTCTATTGATGATGAAAATGTGTTCTTGATCCTCAGAGTGTATTCTCCTGTAGTACATTTATGATAGAAACGTGAATATTATTAGCCTCGTATTTAGCTGGAGGCCATGACAGTTATAGTTACGTTGACTGGCTCTTTGCCTGGGGGAAGGTTCGTAGGTGTTGCTGTTGGCCTTGGCAGTGCCATTGATGCCGCTGAAAGAGAAGGTTTTTTGTTGAAGTGAGAGAAAACAAGACGTTAACTGTTTTGATTTGAGCTAAATGAATAAGGTACCTGGAGTGGCTGATGGGCCTGGCTCTTCTGTACCTCTCTCCCCCTCTGCTGTGCCAGGAACTTCATCCTCAGGGAAATTAATGTTCTCTCTAGACTGGCTATTTTGCCTGGAAAACACAAATAGTAAAAGAGTAGTGAAGAAATTTGACAAGACAATCAAACATCTTTGAAATAACTGTTGTTGCATACCTTCCAAATATCAAGTCATGGAGCCCTGTGAAGTGTGAAACAGGCATTAGCATACAGCAATGCTTAAACCATCAAAGTGTGATTTCTTCAAATGGTGCATGACTCACGTGGGTTATTGTTGCGGTTCCGTACCACATACATGAAGAGCAGTATAGTGATTATTGTGGCTATGATCATGCCCCCAATGGCTGCCCCGATCACAGCTGGGTAGGCATTGAAGGGAGGGTCGGCTGGAAGACAGCATACCTATTTCAGCTTCACAAAATCCTAGCATGGTTTTGCATTGTATTCTGATATTTTTCAGACACTCGTAAAACCTAAAATGAATCTATAATCAACTTTAATGAATGTTACCATTTTAAATAATGGTTAACTTGGATTTACTGGCTTCATTAGCATGTTTGATCAAACTCTCTTCCTTTAGAGATAAGTTATTATCAGACAGAATGAGACAAAGTAATGTAAGGAAAGGTCAAAGTGCAGGTTAGCAGGCAGATCGTGTAAGAGGAAAGGGATAGGATGATGTGTGGGTATGGAAGTGGTCAAATGATTGTGCATTTCACCTGAATGGACAACAAAACAAAGATCATCAGCATTAGCGTTTCAATGAGCACTCCAAACTTTTTCCATTAACATTAAGTAGCAGCCTGCTTTTTATTTAATATTCTAATCTAAATTTGATGTATTCTTATTGCATTTTAACGTGTGTAAGTGTTGTTACCTGGGCTCTTTATATCTGAAGGGTTTCCAATGGTGCGGTGGTTGATGGCAGTAATGCGAAATGCATAGGCTCCATTGGGATCCAGATTGTTTATTTGGTAGGTTCGGGACTCAGGATCCAGATCTATCAGTTTCTGCCAGGGAACGTCTGTGTTTCTTTTCTTCGCAGGTTCAGGGAGCCTCTGCCGTTCAATAAAGAACCCAGTGAGATCACCTTCAGACTGAAGCTGCCAGTCTAGGTCAACATCTGTCCGGTGACGACTGTTGTACATGATCCTAGTGATGCTTAAATCTGGGGGCATTGGGTACCCTGAAACAAGATTAATTATAGTCAGTAACTTGGGTGAGGAGGATAAGGAGTTCTCGACTTCATCCCTTGTCATTTACTTTAATGCAAAGTTTAGCTCCAACCATAAACAAACACTAGCCAATCAAGGTCTTCATGATTACTAGAAAGGCAGGTGAGTTTAATCAAGGTCGAAGAAAAAGTGAGGGAAAGAGATCTTGAGGGAAAGTGTTGAGAACATTTAGATCCAAATTCTTAACTACCTTGTAGTTATACTGAGTATGTCTAGTAAACTATAAAGGTTTGCTTACTTTTCACCATCAGCATAATGGGAATCTCTGCCCCACCCACAGCATTGGTAGCTGAACACCAGTACTGGCCACTGTCTGTCTCGCTGTCTGTTTCTCGCACAGTCAAGTTGGTCCAGGCAGCAGCCCGCTCCAAGACGTACTTCAAAGGAATATCATTCACATGCTGTTTCTGATTGTTGTACCAGGAAATCTCTGTGACAGGGTAGTTTCTACTCAAAACACAGCTGAGCTGGACATCATTGCCTTCATAAACCGTCATAACGCTCCGTTGAGTTACAAGGACCGGTGCCTCTGAAAACAGTAAGACATGACACGGTTAAAAAAAGCATTCTTTTACTATTTTAAGAAAGTGCCAAATTATAACAAGTGACCCTTTTTTACCCAGTTTTAAAACGCACTGTTTGATCTCCTTAACCAATGGATGTTTTGCATGGCATACAAAGGCCTTGCCACTGTAGGTAGCGCTTGAACGCAGAACCAGGATGTTAGCATTCTCCTCAGATGTGCCTTGCATGTCTCCTGTGCTGGAGGACCACCAAACTAGGGCTCGAGGAAACCCGCCTTCCCAGGAGCAGGACAGCATTAGGTACTCATTGTTTCGAGTTGCATATGCTGAGCACTTTGGTTCCCCATAGGGCGCCCCTGGGATCAAGATGCACAAATATTTACCAATCATTATTTCATCTCAAAGTAGAATAACTGCTCTTAGATTTCCACTTACAAGTTTTTACACTGCAGCTCTTGATTTCATTTGAAGCAACGTGTGAGCCTTGGCAGATGAACACAGAGTTGTTCGCAGTATCTTGACCTTTCTGAATCTTTGTGATGTTGGAGAATCCCTCACTCTCTTTTTCAAACACATACGGGGTCCATCTCAAAGCGGCTGCAGGGATTCCACCCTCCCAGGTACAGAGAAGGGCCAGGTCAGTGTAATTGTTTGTTGGTAGAATCAAGCAAGTTGGAGCGCCATCTGGTGGATCTGTGGGAACAAAACCATTGTGTAACACAGGGCAGTGAAATGTATCCTGGGTGATTTGGGCCAATTTTGGAAACTGATAGAGGCAGAGAAGCACTCCTGAATTTGAGCTGAGCAGAGAGGTCGGATTAGATGTCTATTATTTATCTAGAGAGAGGCAAGAGGTAGCCAACTTCTAGAAAGTTCAAGAATTATGAAATATTGCTTTGGCATTACCTATTTGAATTTGCCATTATTAATCCTCTTTCAATTAAACCAAACTTAAGGTCATATCATAAGGTGTTGATGTGTCATTATACATTATGGGTGCGGTTGTTAACACCTTGGTAAAATCAAGAAGAGATATACATTCAAGGCATGAAGGGAGATTGAAGTATTATGACAAAACCAGGCCTCTTGGCCTTTCTTAACTTGTCATAACAGAAACAATCACACCAGCTGTATACCTTCAGCTTTCAGAACTGTCCTTCTCCTCCAGATGCACGTCCACAATCAGCCACTTTGGAAGCCTGACACCTTTGTTTACGTAACTGTCTGTACGTTCATGTGAGTGTGTTAGTGTAAAGGAAAAGGTGTAATAAGAAGCAAAGACAAGAAATTTCAGAAGGAAACTTGAGGAAGCTGTTGAACTCTATCAGGACAGAAGAAACAGCAAAGATGGCCACCAGATTCCAGGCAGGGTTTTTGTCTGAGCACTCACAGTAGACGGTGAGGGTGATGGTTTTCCTGGAGCGGGTGTTGAGGTAAGTGTTTTGAGCCAGGCAAGCATAGTGGCCCGTGTGCATACGTAGGATCTTGGTGATAGTGAACTGCGGACCCGCGAACACCTGGGAGTTGTTGTAGAACCAGACGTACTGACTGGGGGGATTAGAAGAAGCTTGACACAGAAGGGAAACTGTCTCTCTTTCCAGGGCAGAATAACCCCGTTCCGTCACAGAGTAAGGGGTGACATCGATCTGAGGCTGATCTGGACCAACTGGAAAAAGACCCATGTATGTTTACCTGATATGCTTTTTAAATCACTGCATTGTTTATGTTAAAGTACTTGGTAGTCTCTTACATATGGTGTCAAGCCAGACTCGGTCACTGCGCTGCTGGTTGACTTGGTTGCTGGCAAGACATCTGTACCATCCAGTGTGATTGCGGTTGACATCGGTGAGATTGAACTGGTTGTCATCATAGATTTCAGCCATGGTGGTGAGCTTGCTTTCCCGACTCTCCTGTTCCCAAATGTAATTAATAGGTCGTGTGCCATTCTCCAGGCCACAGCGCATGATCATTGACGTGCCCTCCACTGGCGAAGAGTCACTCATCACAATGTAAGGTTTGGTCACTGGCACTGTTAAAATTGTTACAAAATAGAACGTCAGTAATGGTGGAGCTTGAAAGAATGGTTATTAGCAAAAGCTAAACAATAAAAATAAATATGTTTTATTTCAGGAGCTGATGATTGATTATTAAAGCCTGATTTGCATGCTGTCCTGGGAGAGAGCCCTGAGCACATAAGATTCTCGAGCCTGGGGCTCCCTCTCGTTTGCAAGGTGAGAGGGGAGTTTAAGCTCAGGTAGATCTCGAGAACTCCCCTGCTATAGTAGCTAATGAACAGATAGTGATTGCTCATAAAAGATAACTACTTACTATGTGCATGTCTATGGTGCCGATTTGGATTAGTTAATTAACTTAAGTTGAATGTTTTTAAACGGTGGGAGGAAACCGGTAAACCCACATGAGCACAGAGTGTAAACTCCACACAGAAACGTAAGCTGGCTTGGTAAGGGCTAGAATCAGTGGCGTTCTTGCTGTGAGGCAACAGTGCTAACCACTGGGCCACCGTGCCACCTATCTAGGAAAGGAGGACAAGTAGGGGTGGAAGGGGGTAGAGGTCTGCATTCCGAATAAATCGCGGGAGCGGTCGGTAACGGGTTTAATTTGGGACGGGAGCGGGCTGTCTAGCAATATCGCGGATATTGCTATGCCAATGAGAGAGAGAGAGAAAGAGAGAGAGAGAGAGAGAGAGCGAGCGAGCGAGAGAGAGCGAGCTTTGCCTGTGTGTGTGTGTGTATATGTTAGTGCGCGCGCGAATGAGAGAGAGCTTTCCCAGATAGCAAAATACACTCGGGCCAGTTCCGCCTAGATTCTCGCCTGCCGGAGACTTACCACTCAGCCCGGCTCCGGCTGCCGGACTCCGGATGCTTGTGGACTCACTGCCCGATTCCGGCCCGAATCAATCGGGCCAGATGCGGCGGCCATAAGCGGCCCAAGAGTAATGTGCGCTGCGGCCCGGAGCTGGCGCGACTCAGTATTTATATACCTTTATATAAAACCTTTTGGTATTACATTGGTACTTGATACATGGTATTACAAGCCTTTGAGTTGATATAACAGCAAACGCCTGTGTGTCTGCTTGGTGCTTGTGTGTGCGCGTTAGTGCGCGCGCGCGCGCGTGCGTGCGTATGAAAGTGAGAGAGAGATTTGTCTGTGTGTGTGTGTGCTTGGTGCTGTGTGTGTGTTTATACAGACAGCTTGGCTGTCTGGACTGTATAGCTGGGGGATTTTCGGTTTTGTTCTCCCCTGCTCTTTAGCGGGATCGGGCGCGGCGGCCAGAAAACGGGGCGGGTCGGGCAGCGGGACAATAAATTCTTAGTATAAGCGGGAGCGGTCGGGTTCGGGCTAAAACCTGGCGGGTGCGGGCGGGAGCGGGATTCAAAATTTAGTCCCGCACAGATCTCTAGAAGGGGGGGTTCTTCATCTTCATCAAAATGAAGATGGCTTAGGGTGTTTATAGTGGCTTAGGAATCGTCTGATTGTTGAATCATAAATTAGATAATGCGGGACCAGCCGCAAGCAATCATAAGCGTGTGATCCTCTCGAAATTAGTTTATAAATAAACTTCACATAGTTAAATAATCTTTCATCCCCAATCTAAACACCAAGGTCAATTACCCTTAAAGTAAGACAGTTATCGTTCAGATCAGTACTTTGAGATCCCTCGGCTACTACTAACCTAGAACACGCAGAAACACATAGTAGTAATACAACTTGGCTCCATCAGGGGTATCATACAGCGCCTGGCAGGTATACACTCCTTCTGCAGCCAGAGGAAGCTTATCAATGGACAAAGAGGCGCTGTTGCTGATTACTGTCAATTCACCCAATTCATTGGCTAACTTCTGTATCTTGGGACCCTTCCCAAAGTTGTACACCACAGCACGGATGGTGTCTGTCCCCGGCTGGGTAAACCCCCAGATGTAGACATCAGGTAACGTGGGGCCACACTCCAGAATCACTCCACGTCCCACCACACCATTGGTCTTGGTCTCAGTGTATACCACTTGTCCTGGGTCCAAGATCTCTACGCCTGGAAGAGCACACGTGTAATTTAAAACGTACAGTGCACAATAATATTATTAGCAAAGATTAAGTTATAACGGGCACATCACAGATAGAATACATTGTGCTTTTTGTGTTTTAAAAATGAGATGTATATAACAAAACATCTGAAGAAGAAATAAATAGGACTGCTAAATTTAAGCCCAATTTACACTAGACAGACATCAACAAGCATGAACAATCACCAGATTACAATCCATCATTTTTCAGACATTCCATGACCTGGAAATCAGATAGTTGTCAATCAGCGAAAACAAAATCTGACAGACCCCAATGTGGGTAACACATTGACCCGACTATACCTGACCAAGTAGCAGGTACCATCGGTCACCACAGTAAATTGGCCTATAGTTGACCGCAATAAAAACAAAGAAAATGGTTGTTGATATTCTTACCTTGAAGGAGGAGGGGTAGAAATAAAACAGTCAGCCAGATATAAGGTACCCCTAATACTCTGTGGACCATGATGCCATGACTCTCACGTCCAGTGCCTTAACCAAGTTGTAAAAAAGCCCAACAGCTGTCTCCAAAATAAATAAAAAGTTAGAAATGTACAATAAATATGAACCAACCGCTCTATGCTTACAATTACGACCAAAGTCCACAGGCTCAATGAGAGAAAGAGGCAGCTGAGTCTCTCTAAACTGATTTGGCTTAAATAATTCACAGATCTTCCCCTCCATGGACAAGAATACAGTGGAGTGGAGTAGAAAGGTTTAGAATGACACAGTGATAGCGGTGTCTCATTTATTATTGAAGGTGGCGGGATGGATGGCCGTTCTTGCATTCCATCACCCGCAGTGACAAAGAAAAGCCTCTGATATACAACACAATTTATTCTCTATATAAATACAGAAAAGCAGCCACAAATTATAAATAACAGTGATTTAATAATGACTTAACAGCATTCATCAATTTATTCAGACACAGATTATGAATTAAAGCTTAAAATTGAACAAATATGTGATCGTTTGTGATCAGTTGGGACCTGGAGCATCCACGCAATCAATTTCAAACTATGAAAACGTTTTAACGCAGGCTGGATATAAAGCTAGGCCATGGCTAAAGTGCAATTAAAAAGTCTATACTTGGATTTGAGGGTTCAGAGCCTGAGGACATGCACTTAATCACAGATTCTTGTTCTTCTCAGCTCATCCACTCTCTGGGTTTGAGGTCAGAATTATACAAATGTAGATGTGTGTGTGTGTGGGTGGGTGTGTGTGTGTGTGTTTCCATCCACAACAGCTCAGCCAAGCAAAGGAAACTTTGCATCCCTACATTCATTCATGAGTTTCTCATGTTACGCGACAGTTAAGAATGCAAGAGTGCACAACTCTATACACAGACGACAATGAAAATGATATGATATAAGATGCAACTATTGTATATGAATATATGGTGTATTTGCAAAATATTTATTTGAATGTTCTTGCATTGGATCATATCAAATAAAGCAGTTTGTCAAGTTTGAATTCATCAAACATGTACAGTTGAAGTCAGAATTATTAGCCCCCTATCAATTATTATTATTGTTTTTTTATATTTCCCAAATGATGTTTAACAGAGCAAGGAAATTTTCACAGTATGTCTGATAATATTTTTTTCTTCTGGAGAAAGTCTTATTTGTTTTATTTCTGCTAGAATAAAAGCAGTTATTAATTTATTAAAAACCATTTTCAAAATTATAAGCCCCTGTAAGCTATATGTTTTTTCGATAGTCTACGGAACAAACCATTGTTATACAATAACTTGCCTAATTACCCTAACCTGCCTAGTTAACCTAATAGGGTATATGCCGAAGCATGCTAGTAGGACTTTTAATTTGCCAGTAACCTGGGTTAAACGCTTCCGGCGAATTTAATGCCAATGCAAAAACCGTTGTGTTTAAGGTCTGTTTTCTTTAAAAATCAGCGATCTCCACTAGCTGAGTGATGTCTGATTTAAAGTGGGCCTCAGATTGTACAAGAAGCACTGCATTAAATTACATTTTCAGCCGCCATGTCTTTATAATATGAGCATTTATTTTAACCCAGTATATTCAATGGAGCTTTTGCGCTAACCTGCCGATTCTGACTGGCGCGTGCGAGCAAACGGCTTTTTGTCTCATTTTACGCTTGAGCAACTAAATAAATGCCAAAGTTTATTTAACTGAATGTATTTTAATAACATTACAACATCGATGCTGTAAAAGGAACCATATAAAATGGAAAAAAGTTCACAATAACAGGTCACCGGAAGTTTATCAGCATGGGAACAGGCACTAGCTCGGCATATACCCCATTAACCTAGTTAAGCCTTGAAATGTCACTTTAAGCTGTATAGAAGTTACTTGAAAAAATCTTGTCAAATAATATTTACTGTCATCATGGCAAAGATAAATCAGTTATTAGAAATGAGTTATTAAAACTATTATGTTTAGAAATGTTGAAAAAATCTCTCAGTTAAACAGAAATTGGAGAAAAAAATAAACAGGGCGCTAATAATTCTGACTTCAACTGTATATGCTTCCAAAAACCATTGGAACAATATTATATATTTTACTTATGTTCTTGCATTATCCCAAATGTTTAAAATTATTTTCAAATCCAGTGAAATTAGACATTTTAGCTATGCTCAATTTCCCCTCAATTTACAGTTTGGTTTTAAAGAAAACATGGAAACACCATAGACACTTTAACATGTGTTCATTTTTCTACCGCACTGCAATATAACAGAAACCTAAAGTGTATTTAGTATGATAAAGCAGCTCTGCTTTTCCCCCATTTGATGACGACTGAAAAAAGTGGAAGTGGTTGACTGTGGCATACAGACCTTTATTGCCACGTCATGCTCGTCTCTCATCAGCAATAGCTTCTGTGCTTTTGCTTAGACAATTCCCAGTAGTAATGAGAGAAATGAAGCTTTTTAATGATTTGAAACAACTGCTTTGCAAAATAATTCAATTTCAAAGTGTTCACAACAGCACATGCAAGGGACACCTGGCGGTCAAAGCCATAAGCAACAAAAGCTCAGTCAAAACATCTATTAGAATTGACATTTTCAAACATATTGCGAAGTTTAAATTGAAAGTATAACCAATAAATTTACTGTTAAGTGTCTGCATAATATTCATTCTTTTATTAATTGTCAATGCTTGAATATTGTCATGGTGGGCTTTGCTAAACTAGTCACCAAGAGATTATTAGCTATTCTTCCTTTTCATTACACACGTCTCATGTTTGTATACTAGCGTAAGAAACCTTTTCAGTGATTCGCCCCAAATGGAGAACTATTGAATTTTCAAAACAGTTGAGACATAAAGAAACCCTATTTACTGAAATCATGTGACCTTGCCAATTTGATATGCACAGTGAACCACTGATTCAAAACAAAAGATTTGCAAAGGCCTCAAAGCTTGATGAAGCAATGTTTTAAAAGTAGCCATCACTAGCTTTCAGTGTTAAATTTTGAATTCTTTAGCTCATCCATGAACGACTTCTGGACCCTGTAGAATGTAATGAAGATGACAACTCCCACGATTCCACACTTAGTCACTATGTCATCAAAATACACCTTTGTTTGTTATGAATACATGTCATCTAGAGGCAAAAATGACATACTGTGCTTTTAAAGGATCACAAAACACCTTTTTTTTAAAAAATGTTGACAGTCATATATTTGTTCAACATTGCTAAAAACACAATTAGGACACATATTTTACTAAAAAGTGAAAATTGGTTGTTGGCAATTTGACAGGTCGTCAGTGTTGCATTTATAAATGTGCCCCAATGAAGGTTTTTTTCCATTTCCCCACGATGAAAGCACAGCTCACATGTGAACCCACATGTGTGGATTACAGTGTTCTGCTAACATGTGACAAAAATATTTTTGTGAGGAACATTTTTTACCCGAGAGCTTTTCGAACCGGGAAATTATGAAATCTGGATTTGCCACTCTCCTTTTAAAAACAGACGCGGTTTCAGTTGTTGTTAATTGTCCTATCTCTAAGGATTAGATAAGTGATCAATATACTTTGTTTCTGTTTATTCAGATGCTTAAATCTGTTAGTATCGTCAGCAGTACTCTTTCAGTTTTTAAAGACACACCTTAGTCAAAATGAATTAGTTACTAAGTTTACAGTAATATCACTACAATATTAAGGACTGAAAAACCTACACTTCCACACATCTCTCAGATCCGCAGTCCGAATCCCTGTCTATCTTCCCTATGTCTGTGTTTGTGTTGCCTCTGTGAAAATCAGCTGCTATGAAAACACCCTTCTGAGACAGGTGGGAAGTTTTATGGCCCTTTAAAAGTTTTGCTTAGATTTTTTATTTTTTTTTGAAAGAAAAACGAGGCAAATTATTACATACAAGTATTTGACAAGACTTTTTCTTTTCTTTTTTCTTTTTTTTTTGATACATTTTCTACCCCATGAATAACCTCCCTCCCCTTCAAAAATAAAAAAAATTAAAAAAATAAACAAATAATAAAAAATTAATAATATATAAAAAAGAAATAATAATAATAATAGTAACAAAAAATTTATACTAAATTAAATTAAATATTTACATAGTAAAAGAGTTTTTATAGCACAATGAGGAAGTATTTAAGAGTAATGTTTGCTCATCGAGATTGATTGCATTATCCTTATAAGCATAGGCCTCTATTAGTTTTAATGTTTGGCCTTTTTCAAAGTATGAGATCATTGGATTCCATACTGTATAAAAACGTTTAGTAGATCCTCTAAGAGAGTATTTAATTTTCTCCAATCTTAAAAACAGCATTATATCACTAAACCAAAGTGAAACCAAAAGTGGTTTACTTGATTCCAATCAAGCAATATTCTTCTTCAAGCCATAAGACACATGAAGGCATAAGCGTCTTGATAATTATTGGACATGACTGTATCTTGTTCAAGTACTCCAAAAATAGCCATTTCAAAGCTAGGCCTAATGTCTTTATTATATGCCTCGGACAGAATTTTATACAGTAGTTGTCCAATAATCGAACAGTGTAGGGCATGCCAAAAACATACGAGCTAAATCTGCTTTAGCAGAATGCCATCGTTCGCATGTGTCGCTTAGATTTGTGTATGCTTTAGAATATTTTGAAATTGGAAAATGGGATGCTATATTTCTAAAAACCTACTCATAAATCTACGTTTTTGATTCTCAGCTGGTTGTCCTTAGATAGCTTAAAATGAAATCTCAGTATTACACTATAATTTTTGAATTTCATTATTGATATGCTATATTAAAATGATCGAAGTTGTGCACTTTCTCCTGTTTGCTGATTACTTCAAACTCGCCGCATAAACAGCCTCAGGATCCCGTCTGCAACTTTTCATTCACAAACTATGGGTGAAGTGAAAGTGAAGGCCTCTCTTTGTGTATTTTTGTGTAAAGTATTTAATATATCCACGTAGTTGTCCAAATTAATGTCCTGTGAGTGTTTTATAATTGACGGGCGCCCATACAGGAGGATCTAGCGAGGCTCGATGATGTTTCTGCTATAGAAAGTAAAATAAACTTGAATTTTAAACGCGCTCCGGTGAAGCTTGCTCACTTGCTGTCAGCAATCTCCCAATAATATCCAGCTGCAAACTCAACTGCCATCAGATCAACGCATTTCAACAGATTTATGGTGTTTCACAGTATTTTAAATTTGTCTGTTTTTTTTTTGTAATTGCAGATATTTAATAGTGGATATTCAGTCAGTCCTGTTTACAACTGGTCTTTTGCAATCACACTGTTGACCAGTGGTTCTCTTTGGATCTCTGTTTATATATATATATATATATATATATATATATATATATATATATATATATATATATATATATATATATATATATATATATATAGTTAATAAATAAAGGTTTAAATGAGCATTTCATACAAACATTTTAGAGAAAATGTCAGACAGGTGGGTCTTCAAAAATTTATCAGATTTTATTATTGTTTACAGTTGGGGGTCACTTATGTTCTGATCCAAGATCAGTTGCTGAACACAAGACCGTTCCTCACAAACTCAAATAGTTCATAATCTAAGTTAAGTTATTAGCACAAATCAGTGTAGACAGAAGCAGCTGTGATCTGCCATGTTGCGTTCACTCCAGATGGCATACAGTATGTCTAAATGCAAGCTATAAATAGGTTTAAATCAGATTATTATATGTAATCATCATAATCGCTTCCTCTTTGCATTGCATCATCGTATCCTGCTAATATGTAAGAAAATATTCACAATTTTCAGTTCATAATCAGCCATACTAAAACTAACCAAAATGAATGATGAAGCTAATATTTGCTTATTGTTTTATTTGTAGAAAAGAAAAACATTCAAACAAAAGAAAAATAGATCACAAGTGGTTAAAATCTTCCTTTACATCATGAACAGCTTATTCAGTACAAGCTGGTCACTTCAACAACACAAATACACACCATGCAATCCATCACATTTCTGCACATGTACAAACACTCTTTACATGGTTATTAGATCTGCAGTGCGTTGAAGAACTTTGAGTTGTGAATG